TTGAATTTTGCTTGTCTAGATCAGATTTTTAATGTGAATAGCACTGAAAATTGCACTATGCCCCTGTCCCACGGACCTTACAAGACAAATACATTTATCACTGCAGATTATTGTTAGAATGGCCAGTATAGTAGGATGCGGTTAGGGGTTGGGAAGGCTGGAACAGGGTCAGAAAAGGAAGACCCAGCTGCAGAAGCAGATTCTGAAACACATTCAGTTCACGGAAAATGGGCTGTAAAATCAGGTGAAGGGCATTAACTCCTGAGTAATCCTGATTCAGACTATCTGCATTCCCCCTCCCCCCCCCCAGCATATAACCAATGAAAGGTGCTAAGCACCTTCAGTGCTATGATGAATGTCCTCAACTTTCATTCATGTCAATGGGAGTAGATAGCACTCAGCACCTATCAGGATTGGGCCCTCAGAGGAGGAGTTGCAGGCACATCAAAAGGATCTGTTTGAAGAACTGGCTACTGTGTCTGTTTGTGGCTACTGTGGAAATGCAGTAGAATTGTTATAACGCTAGTCACAGGCTGAGGGTGGATGGTGTCACGGTGAGGCATGGAGTCAGATTCAGGAAATGTGGGTCCAGTTCTGAGTTTTGCTTGTGAATTTGGGTGGCTCATTTGGTCTCTTTGTATCCCCTCAGTAAAACGGGGATATTAGTCCTTCCTTTGTCTGTTTTGTCTTTATCTAGATTGTAAGCTCAGTGGGACAGGGACGATTTCCTATTTTTGTTTGTACTGCATGTTGCACAATGGGGCCTCAATCTCAGTTGGAGCCACTAGACACTACCATAAAATAAATTACTATACTAAAACATCCCTGTTTTTCTCATCTCAGTTTAGAGCTGGCCATTTTAGTTTTATTTATGTGTGAGGGTTGGTTTTATTTTTGTTTGTTTTTTGATGTCTCAAACTTTCCTAAGTTTTGCTGCAGTTACTGTAATCCTTTTCTACTGTTCAGGTTATGCGGAGTTCTCGTATCTGTCAAATGCAAATTCTAAATTGAGTGCAGATGGAACCATGATCTTTTTAAAGTCTCACTCAAAGGCCCACATCAAGTTACTTTCTCTACTGTGAAATGTTGATTTTTGCAAAAAACCGTGGCCATGTTTAGTTACTGTGGGAATCAGTCACCTGTGCACAATCATCTTCTTCTCTTTGGCTTACAATGGAGTGAGATGATGCTACAATGTTAATTTATACAAATAATTTTGAATTCGTTTTTCAACAGCATCTTGGGATTTTGGTTTTTTTTTCATTTATTAGAATTATCATCATATACTCTTGCCATATCCGAGCTAGAAATGAGCCTGTGCTGGAATTTTCACACTTGAATCCAGGTCCAAATTTCCCCCATAATGAGATTATGTTATGACTTGGGGGAGGGGTTGAATTAAGTTTGAATTGTGGCTTTAAAAAACGTGGTAAAATTATGCATGTAGAAGGTTAGTTTGGTTTACTCACTCTCTCTTTTCTTCGCTGATAAGGACTAAACAAGCGAATGGTAACTGAGCAAGTCACTTAGGGTCAAATTTTCAAAAGTGGCCTCTGATTTCTCACAACTCCTGAGAACTTGCATCTTTCACTGATTTCAGCTGGAGTAGTGGGTACTCAGTGTGATTGAAAGGCAGCCCCAAATGTTTAAATTGCACACCCAAAAACTGAGGCACCTAAAATTAGGGGCCATTTTCGGAAACCTGGGTCTTAACCTCTTTGTACTTCAATTACTTCATTTATAGAACAGGATAATGCTTATTTTTAAACGCATTTTGAGATATATGAATGAAAAGCAGTAAGTAAATGCACACCATAAACTTACAGAATCATTATATTTTGAAGTATGTCTCCTACTACCTTTTATCTCTACAGGGAAAAAGTAAATTGGAACATTATCTTTAAGACTTTCTAATCAGCACCTTCAGCTACAGCCTGCAATGTGGATTTTGTCATCCAATGCCAAAGAAAGTTTGTGGGTGTTGGGAAATTAGAAGCCAAATAAATGTCTGACTATCATCTAGCACCATCTATTGGCGGAAATGATGTATTGACTATAGACATGGTTTTCATTCCCTTCGAGGAAAACAAGTCTGCAGTGACAGAATAATTTCTGTCACACAGAAGCGAAGGGAGAAATTTAGGGAGACCGAATTCAACGGAAGTTTGGCCAGGGTGATGAAATGAACACACTTGTTCTTTGAAAAGTATTGTGGGATCTATAGTGACAGTTAGGAAACTTCAAGAGGTGAATTGCAAAACCAACCCCCCCACCCTCCCAAGACAAGACTCAAGGCAGAAGAAAAGCAGTGAGTGTGACTCATGGGGATGGCAATAGTGAGAATGGCAAGATGCCAAGCTTATTTTCCTAGGCACCGGAAATGGTGGCTCTGGACACCCTGTCTCAGAACTTGCATTCCAACTCTTTCCCCTTTCTCTTTGTTTCTCTTGTATCCATTGATGGCCCTGCCTTCCTGGGTGAAGTAGAGATCAAATCCCATTTGCCATTAAGTGAAAGCTGGCATCTCCAAAGATAGCATTTAGCAGCAACTACCTTCTGCAGACGGGAATCCAAAACCTCGCAGATGCAGGCACTGCCAGGAACAGCATGGAAATTGGGAGCAAAGGGTAGGAGCAGCCCCTAGTACAGGGATCGGCAACCTTTGGCAGGTGGCCCGCCAGGGTAAGCACCTGATGGGCTGCCTGCCAAAGGTTGCCGATCCCTGCCCTAGTAAAAGCATCCTCTTGTGTAAGGGGGTGTGGTCAGGGAGGTGCACAGATTGGAGCCAGAAAACAGAGGAGAGCTGGACTGGTAGGGGAAGCTGGCAACAGGGTTGGCGACAGTGCATTCATATCTGGGAACGAGAGGAATAAGAGAACAAGAAGGTATTACCAGCAGTTCCTATGGAGAACCCTCTTGCACTCCCTTCAGCTACCATATGCAACTGAACTGACTTCCCAGCCCCATTCCCCAATTCCTTCTGCTCTTAGGCCCAACTCAGGAAATCACTTAATCACATGTTTAATTTTAAGGACATACAGAAGGCAGCGGGACTTTCATATGCATTTCAAGTTAAGCACATGCTTAAATGATGTCCTGAATAGAGATGTTTCCTGAATGGGTGCCTAGCTGATCAGGAAGCAAGAGGTCAACTTGACTCAGTAAGTCAATCAGGCAGAGGAAGACTAAAGAATTGAGAGAAGGCAGTCACGGAAACTAAATATACTGCATTGGATGTGCATCCCATCCAACTCCATTGACTTGGCCACCTGTCTTCTGAAATGCATTACAAGGAACAATATATAAAGTTAACAGAAGACAATTACTGAAACATTAATAAAAATGGAATGTCATTTCACTTTATTGCATTTTAAAAGAAAATTTTAGTGCATTTTTTGTAACTAACACTACAGAGAGTAATCTTTTCTAAAGTACTTCAGAATCACTTTTTGCTATAAATAAAAGCCACTTTGTCCAGTAGCATCAGCTACAGTATGTCCCTGAGACCACATCTTTCACAGGCTTCTCACGCCAAATATTAATTTTCCATAATACAGATTTAGACAATAAGAAAAATACATCTTCCAAACCAAAAATCGTTCATATATTAAAGCAAAAAATAAAAAATAAAATAAAATTTGGTTGTGGAAAGAACAAAGTGTTTCAGCTTGTGCATAAACATAAAAAGTGAAGTGTTGAGTCCTATCACCCCTGAGAGTGGTATGCAGACAATTGTTAAATCTAGTGTTAGCTAATTTCCTGGTGCATTTGGTCTAAGAAAGCCCCCCACTTTTGTTATCAGTGTCACAAGTTAGAATGACTTTCTATCTGTTGGTTGTTGGGTAAGAAGACCACCAAAGTTGTTAAATCCTTTATACCAAAAACCAGTCCATTATGTTTTATTTCCACTTCATTCCAAGTGGCAGCAGCAAAGCAAAGTTTGCCCTTGTTGCCAAGAAGGCTAACAGCATACTGGGCTGCATTAGTAGATGCATTGGCAGATCGAGGAAAGTGATTATTCCCCTCTATTTGGCGGTGGTGAGGCCACATCTGGAGTACTGCATCCAGTTTTGGGCCCCCAACTACAGAAAGGATGGGGACAAATTGGAGAGAATCCAGTGGAGGGCAACAAAAATGATTAGGGGGCTGGGACACATGACTTATGAGGAGAGGCTGAGGGAATTGGGCTTATTTAATCTGCAGAAGGGAAGAGGGGGCATTTGATAGTAGCCTTCAACTACCTGGAAGGGTTTTCCAAAGAGGCTGTTCTCAGTGGTGGCAAATGACAGAACAAGGAGCAATGGTCTCGAGTTGCAGTGGGGGTGGTATAGTTTGGATATTAGGTATTTCACTAGGAGGGTGGTGAAGCACTGGAATGGGTTACCTCAGGAGGTGGTGGTGGAATCTCCATCCTTAGAGGTTTTTAAGGTCCGTCTTGAGAAAGCCCTGACTAGGATGATTTAGTTGGAGTTGGCCCTGCTTTGAGCAAGGGGTTGGACTAGATGACCTCCTGAGATCTCTTCCAACCCTAATCTTCTATGATTCTATGATAAAGGTCCCTGTTCTGGGGAATGATGTGTCTTTCCTGAGTGGAGGGGAAAAGGGCACGAGAATTAGTGGGGACGTTTTGAGGCTCTTGCTTAAATGGTCACCAGGGATAAAATTTTCAAAAGTGACTTAGGTGCCTAAGTCTCAATTGAAAGTCAATAAGACTTGGGCTCCTAAGCACCTAAGTCACATAGCAAAACTTTATCCCAGGTCACAAAAAAATAAGATGAAATCTACAGTACATTAAAAATGAGAAGATTCCATTTTCTGCATGAAGCTTAACTCTCAGACAGAAATCAAGGGGACCTCCCCAAAACTAGTCTATACATGTGCTTGTCTCACTGGGTCCGCCTATAAAATTTCAAGTAATTAAAATATATGTACGTGCTCCCATTGTGCTTTTTACTGAGATCAATGGGATTTTGCCACCGATTTCAAACAAGAACAGGCACTCTGTAAGAAGGAAAGAAAAGTTGATTTAAAAACAAAATTACAAAAACACCAGCTGTGACGGCTATAAAGTAACATTTAAAGTTGCATGTGCACATCATACGTGCTAAATTCAATTTAAAAAAATCTGCAGAGAGGCTTTGTATACTACATCAAATAATTAAACGGGAAGTGCTATGAAACTTTCAGATAAAAGGCACTATAAGAACAAACTTTTTTTTTAAATTAGTGGATCAAATGTAATGCTCAGAAAAGTGACAGACTAGTAACACTGGCATGAACCTGGTATAGCATGGGTCACTGCTATGGAAACCATCCCCATAAGTCTGTCAATGCATTTCAGTCTTTACCTGCATCAACTTCCATTAGCTTTGGCCTGCTAAAATGGATGCAGACAAATGAAGACTAAGCTGCCAGACACACACATTTTCCCTGGTTACCTAAATTGGGATTTAAATGTATGTCTCCAGAGATGAAAAATAATGGATTAATCCTACATGGAACGAACACTTTAAAACATCACTAGATTTTCCAAAATGTGTCTTAAACAACCATCTAAAGAACAGGAAGGAGCAGTTATTCTTAAAATGAAGATGGAACACAATTGCACAGGAAGTTCTGGGAGTTCCTTAAAATACTCACTTATGACAGAAGGTTGCCAGAAGGAGGTGTTCAATAGTCCAGTAAAATTTACATTGTCTCATCTTCAATCACCCTTACTCTGCACGATGGCATTTTCTCTTAAACTACCTTCTATATTATACATAAAAGAAACATACGTGCTAGAGCATACACAGCTCTATTTACCAGAAATGCTGGGACAGAGGAGTGAAAGCAGAATGTCAGCCAGCCACTTGGGAATGGTTAATTATGCTGCATGGGAAAACTTCTAGGCAGAGCATGCGTCACAAGTTATATATGGAACCTCTGATTTATCAACAAGCCATTGTCACAGGAGGCCAATGGTTTATCCAGGTCAGCCTTCATTTCTCATACTGATAAGTGAACATAACAAATTTTACTTGTTTAAATAAAAAAATTCACTTGTCTGTCTCTCTCAGTCAAAGAGCCTATCAGTCTAACCATCATGCTTCAATGTGCGGCTGCAAACTGGATTATTCATCAGCCATTTATATATTCAGAGTCAGAATCATTTTTCTTGAAGGGATTTCAACCTTATTAGCATAAAGAAAATACAACGCTCAATTTACGAAAGGTTTTAAATGATACCTGCACCTTTGAAGGAGAATTTCTCTCTGAACTACAGCTCTGAGCATTCCTGTCTTGACGTATGATCCTGCAGCAGACAAGTCTGTATGAATCTGAGGGCTCAGTCAGGCTGGCCTCCCCTTGAACTTGTATCATTTCTTTTAGAAAACAGCCTGTTGCTGCAATACAGGTTTCTTTAGTGCTCACCATTCTTTAGTATAACGTATCCCCAGCTGTTTGAATTACTTTGCATTTTATTGACGATGCACCAGCCTGTCCAAAATAAGCTGCTATTCACTTTTTAATTTAGCATTTCTACCACTGCAATATCGTGGTGTGTTCATGAGCATTATCAGAATAGCCACCAGTGCCAGCCCCACACCAAGACTTGGAGGGCCACAGGGACTGAACTCCTGTGCAATTCCTGAGAGAAGAGGGGCAATTATGCGTCCCACAGATGTCACAGACTGACCAACTCTTATGAGCGTGCCACTGGCCTGATTCCCACCCAGGGTCAACTCAAGGTCAGTGATGCAAGTGCGTCCTACAGTGGTTGAAAATGCTAAAAATGTTGACGATAAAATGACCGCCCATATGCTGAGTGCTGTGGAATATAGCATTATCAATACACAGGTGAGAACAGTGGAATGTAATAAAAGTGCATAAGAGTTATGTTGATAGAGTCTTGTTATTGGTCCAAGTAGAAAACCAGCAAGTGCTCCAACGGTGCTACTATAGCTTATGAGGTACCCTGTGAGCTTAGGTTTCACCCCAAATCTCTCTTCAACTGCCAGAACAAAATTGCTATAATACAGCATTACAGCTACAGACATTAGTAACCGTACTAAAAATATATCCCACAGATCAGAGCATGCAATGCTTTTAATCCTCTTCAGCACTGACACAACTGGAATCCATAGGGACTGGAGGGGAGTATCATATTTCATTGTTCCATTAGCTAGTGATCGAACCTGCAGGTCATAGTTTGCCTTTGCTGTCACTTTACTGTTACTGGTGGTCTGTTCGTTTTCATCACTATCTGTGTGTTCCTCACTCCATGGTAACATCCAGACGAGGCCTGTAGAGGTAATGCATTACAATCAGTTAATTGTAGACAGTTACGCTCTTTACCCCATACTCAAACACGTAAGTTACTGTTATGTTTTAATGATGTCTCTAATGGTAGAAATCAAAGACATGAAAGTATTTTGCACTTTGTTGGCAACATTTCATCTTAAAATAATCACAAAACAGTTTACAAAAATGAAGCACAACATAACCCATGTAGTTACTATTGGTTTCCCCATATTTTAAATGGGGCTCTATAATAAGAGAGAGAAAGGTTAAGTGACTTGCTCATGCAGCATATACATAGCAGATCTGAGAACTTAACCCAGGATTCAGACTCCCATTCTCCAGCTCTAGACACAAAAACAACACTCCCTCTCTTGTATCTGAATGTAAAAAATAAATAAAGAGGGGGAGGGGCTGTCTTAAATGAACTCTTTTCAAAAAGTCAGAAGAAGTTTACATTCAAAGAGCAGTCTGAATGCACAGAACAGAAGGGGATTACAGTCATATTACTGTACAAACAGCATGAACACGTACCGCTTGAAAAAGCCTGAAGCACAAAATACTACATACAACTTACCAGCATTCAGAATGAAGATAAAAGAACAGATGAAAGATGTCAGGTAAAAGCCACTCTCTAACTCTGTAAAGTAGCCACCAACCACAGGAGCCAGGATGAAACCAACACTGGAGGCTGCATTGAAATGTCCTATTACAAGAGGACGCTCTTTCTCAGAAACCAAGTCAGAAAGAAGAGCTTTTGAAATGGAGAGTGTGTGTTTGAAAATACCTGCAAGATAACATAAAAACATACAGGAAAACGATATCATATTTATTTAGCATGTGATGTAATTCATAAGGTTGTGGTTAATTCTTCTTTGAAAATTCCAAAAGCTACAAATTATCCAACGCCAGAGCTATAGAGGTTGTGTCCTGGGCATCTGACGAGTCTGGCAGCAACCATTCCCTCGGCTAGTTGATGGTTGGGACCTAGGAATCATGTTAAACAGAGATCTATGTCAAGTGAGCAAAACAGCTCAAATAGAATAGAAGCAGCACCTCCCAATGGTGGATCCCAGTAGAGGTGAGGCAACTGCCAGAGACACTGCATCTTGTGGTCAGTGCTGGGGAAAGAACGATACGGCAGGCTAGACACTTGCAATTGGTACAGTACAATCCCAGATTGTTAAACAGTAGGTATTGACAGGCCGAGAGAAGCAGTAATTAATATGAATTCTGGGGCATTCTAAAAATGCCACACGTGCACAATAAAATCTCTCTCTCTGCTCCTTCCTCACAAAAGGATTACCTTACACCACCACAGTCCGCAACCATTGGCAATATAGGAGCATTACAAAAACCTCTAAAGAGGTAGTTAAAATTTTAAAGATTTATCAAACAAACCACTGAAGTTCCTTTATCATACCAAAAACCCACTGCCTCCTCTATCAAGGAAACAAAAAAGTTTTCTTTGGAATGAGGCTAGTCAGTCAGAATTTTAAAAACCTATTATCTGAGTTTTATAATACAGATATGTTGATGGAAACTTAGTGTTAGTGGCACTAACAAATATGCTTTTCCACAACATACACAGCCCATTAAGCAGTGAGCCAAGCTTTTAGGTGATCTCCTATTTGGAAATATATGTTCAGTATGACAACAATATACTGAAGATAATATGACAGGTTTCAGAGTAGCAGCCGTGTTAGTCTGTATCCGCAAAAAGAACGGTGCTACAAGTACTCCTGTTCTTTTTGAAGATAATATATATCATATTATGTGGTGCACACAGACTAACATTTTTAGAAGTTACTAGTGACTTTGGGTGCTCAACTTGAGAAACATTAAAGTGGCCTGATTTTCAGGAAGTGATAAGCACCCATCCTTTGAAAAAACAATCCCTGCACTAAAGTGTCTCAGAAGTTGTTCACCCCCTCCCCCACCCTCAAAAAAAAAAAAACCCTAGAAAAATCACTGGTACATTTCTCAATTAAAAAAAAAGTAAATGAAAAATTCAGTAAAAAGATCAACTTAGAGGTCTTTTCAAAGCTGGGGTTCCATAGGTGCCAAAGAACCATTGCACCTGTGATAAGTAAAACTGTTCAAAGCTGCTATCCAGGTTGTCCCCATATTTAAATATCATGACTTCCACAGCAATAATTCTCAAACTAACATTGGACTGAATATAAATCCAAGTACCAAGTCAATTACTCACCTACAGGTATCCTTGCAATGGCAAATAAACACACACTGGTGGACATGCCAAGTAGCAAATAACCCAGTGCACTGAAGAGGATACAGGCAAGCAGGGAATATTGTCTTCCTATTACATCACTCCAGCAGCCCTGGTAAGACAATAAATGAGTGCTTTTATAGTACTGAACTACCCATTGTGAACAATATGCATGTCTGAATTAAATTGATTACTTCTCTTCTCAAAAGAGAGGTCCCTGAGGGACCATCAGTGGAAACATTCATAAATAGATTAGATAACATTCATAATAGTATTGTGTCTAGATGCCAGAGGCTGGACACGACGGACTAAATTCAACCCTGAAGTCAATGGGAGAAGCACCTGCTTGTACCACGAATTAATTTTACTAGATGAGATATGAAAGCCAAGCTTAATTTAATTTAATGTCTCATCTTAATTTTATGTAAACTCGTGACAATTTAGTGAAATATCATGGGCGACAGTCTAATGAAAATGCCATCACACCAACACTGACCATTATTATTTATTTACGATAGTAACTACTGTGTGCTAGATGCCTGCCAAACACTCAGAGAGGGCAGTCCCGGCTTGAGGGAGATATCACTCTGAGGGCAGACAAACAGAGAGAGGTCACGGGAAGGGGGAAATTAAAAGGTAACCTATATACAATAAGTCAGCTTAATTCACTACAGGCAGCATGGCAGAAGAGGGTCTTTAAGTAGGAAGGGTAGGAGCCTTACACATAAGTTCAGGGAAGCTGCAAGAGACAGAGGACAAGGTGACTGTGTGCTAAACGGGTGGATGAAACCTAGGAGCACTGGCTCCAAAGTACAGATTTGAATGTTGGCAGGTACAGTATACATTCCTGGCCTATGGCCTTGGGGTTGTGTCCTTGTGCATATTTGTTTTGGAGAGGGAAAAGCATAACCTATGGGGAAAAAATAAAGTTTGAGAGACATTGCATAAATTAAGGCCATCTGGCAAATTACAACAGACTCCATATTAATCACAGAATAGCAAACACAGATAACATAATTTCAGAGATCTGGTCCATGATGCTATTTCTTGTATTTAGATTACTGCGTTGAAGAAAACTGCTCTAATAGCAACACAACATTAAACAGAATGTTGCATGACTGACACATAGTAATATTTGAATGCTTAAACTACTACTTTCAAATCTAGGCAGAGATTTGGTTTTCAGCTAAAAATTTCATCTTGTGTACTAGGATTTGATTAGTCCCTATAACTGAAACAAAAAGTTCCACATAGAGTAAGAACAGTTCCTCCAACCTCAAGGGCTTGTGTAAACACTAGCGTAACACTGACAGGCCTCGGTTGTCGGCGGGGAGGATCGAACCCAGGACCTCTGGAGCTTACTGCATGAGCCAAAAGTCAACTGGCTGTTAGCTAAGGCTGTAGGGCAGACTCAATCTCTCTCTCTCTCTCTCTCTCTCTCTCTCTCTAAGTGGTCTCAGTGCCACTAGGAGGTGTGTGGGTTTCACATTCCCCAAAGTATTACCATTAATGTTATCAATTTTCCTACAAAGTTAATAGAAACACCAATATATATTTGCAATATAGCTATGCATCCGAAGAAGTGAGGTTTTTACCCATGAAAGCTTATGCCCAAATAAATCTGTTAGTCTTTGAGGTGCCACCAGACTCCTTGTTGTTTTTGTAGATACAGACTAACACTGCTACCCCCTGATACTTGACACCAATATATATTTAAGATTCAGTATTCAAAACTTACCACAAACGTGCTAGAAAAGAGCTGCAGTAAACCATAAAAAGATCCTAAAATAAAAATAGTGGAAAAAAAGACACTGAGAATTAAGTGTGAACAGACTTGTGAAACTAGCTTTAAAATGGTTCTGCAAAGTGGGAAAATTAACAAAATAATTCATTAGAAGTACAGGAAGAGGCAATAGGGAAAAGCAGGGGCGGGGTACAGCATGAAAAAGAGTTTCACCACTTTGATGGATGAATTTTCCTCTTTTTCTGGGTGTCTCAAAATTGCAATACTATTCAACTGAGAAGTGTGGAAGCAGAAGTATGCTGCTTTGCCAGGGGAAATAACTGAAACTGGGACAGTTGGCATCCTACACCAAACATGACAGGGCATTGTAGCAGTAGGCCTGGAAGAAATTGCAAATCCTACCCTTCAAAAGAACCTAGCAGCAATTGGCAGTAGGAGAGAAGGAACAGAAAGAAAACAACAATTCCAGCATGGAGCCAACAGTACAATATTTGTCAGTCTCTTTTACTGATTAAAGGACATCCCAGCTCCCTGGCTTTTTGAACGCTTAAAGTCAATGCAGAGTGTAGAGGTGATAATGTACTGTACACTAAGTTACTGCATAAAGAACATTTCTGTCAACCAAACTCAGACCTGGGATTAGCATCAGAAGGAGCTCTATTCCAGGCAAACTGAAAAGGCAGGATATTAAAAATCTGGATATAAAGACGACATTTCTATCATCATTACTATTTATAAACTAGACCTGTATTTGTGTTACAAGCCAGGACCCCATAATCATTTCAGTGGAGGACAGGAAGCTACAGAACTCAAAAAGGTCATCATTTGGAACCCACCATACAGTAGCTTCTGAAGACAACTATGAAGAAATACAATGACTTAATAGTGGGACAATCATGATTATAAGGGGGAAGAATCAGCTGCAGACAAATGTCTATCTTGCTTAGAGCTTGCCATTGTTTTCCACTGTGTGGCTACTGAAGGTTAGTTATGATACATATCTGACTTCTACCTCATGTCCTGGGTAATCAGTACCCAGGCTGTACTCACCTACTACTCCTGCAACAGTTGGACTTGCTCCTAGAGACTTGATATGAAGGCTTAACAGAGGCACAACCATACTTACACCAAAGAAGTCCTGAAAGAATAGGGAGAATGGAGTTTCAGTAATTGAGCATATTTACAAAGATACAGAAAGTCAAGATTTAGAATAAGTGATTCTGTATTTTAAAAGGGTATTATATTTTAATTAAATAACAATCTAGGATCAGGTCTACATTTGGAAGGCTCCACCCGTACAGATATACCAGCATATTATACCAGTCAAGTGCTTCTAGCGTGGATGCAGCTTATCCTAGCTGCCCTGAGTGAAACAAGCTATACTGGTAAAAGCACAGTTTTGCTGGTATGACTGCATCTACACTAGGGGTTCTAGATGGCACAGTTATGCTGGTATGACTGCATCTACACTAGGGGTTCTAGACAGCACAGTTATGCTGATCACAAATCACACTTTCGTCACACACATGACCAACAGTTTGTAACATAGACCTGGTCTACAAGAAATAAAAAGTGTTGTGTTGCATTGCATAATCCTTGCAATTTGACTGGTATGTTCACAAACTAAAATTTTTTAAGCTAAAAACTATGACAGGAACTACTTATCTTCTGAATGGTTCTAAATACATGAAAAAAGCTACACTCTTTCAGAAGACCTACTTAAGAAATATTGAATGCTTTATATATATATTTGAAGTTGAATAATTATTCTGAATTTTCAAAATGATAGGTTTGCACTAATAGCATTTTTAATTCAGAACTATAAATAGTCTGGTGTATCATGCAAATACGAAAAAAGCTCCTCTCTGTACAAATAATTAAGTTATGAAAACAAACATTTAAAGCACTTTGAAAAATGCATGTAAAGTACAGTCTTTCAGTTGAAAAACATCATCTACAACGGGAAGAGAGGCTTTCAAGACAGCCCACTCCTGTAAGTAGATTACACTATTTTTCTTACATTACAATGGCAAAGTGTTATACAGGATACAGTACAGAGGCAAGGCAAAGCATAAGGGAAGCAGAGATTTCCTCAATAGCATCAGAGGAAGGCGAGACAGCATGTGGGGGTTCTACACTACTATACTGTACAAGGATCTCCTGGCCTATCCTTTCAAATTTTTATCTTTTGTTAACTTACCATATTGACCTGCTAATTCTTTACTGTACAATGCTGCTTGCATGCCACTTCTACATCAGAGTGGAACTGTGCTGAAGGGGACTACTGAAGCAGTATCACCTTTTATGAGAGACTACTGCAGCTGGACTAAACGTTCATAATAGTCCGTCCAAAACTAGAATAGAGATGTCATTATATATACCATTCAGTCAAATGCTTCAAATACCTCATTAAGCAGTCTTGATGGCTAATTTTTATATATACATACACTCACAAAACTATTGAAAGTCTAATAATACCCATAGTTGATCCCTGGTACTTCTTAAGTAACACAATCTTTAAGCCCAGTAATTATTACTAGCATTTGCATGTCAGTGAAGAACAGTAATTATTTCTTATTTTAAAGAGAGAAGTGTATGTTATTCTAAACTCTAATTTACTGACTATGGGAAGGTTATGTAGCAGACAACAGTTCAGTGACATCTTTCAGCTACTATTCACAGCGGTCACCCTTAGAAATGTGCCAATTGCCTTCTGTGGCAGAGTAAATTTACCTCAGTATTTGAAGGGTTCTAATTATTACCTATAATGAGTATAAGAAAGTTTATGAAACATTGCAAATATAAATGTAAGCATTATCTATTTAAAGCAAAACAGACAAGCTCTATGGAGCACTAGTGCCTACTGCTTTTTCAGACTTGTAAGGAGAAAGACAGAGCCAAAGAGGAAGCACAAACAAAGGAAAAGAAGCAAAAACTAGACAGATTTATCAAAGGCGGAAATGATGGGAAAACAATATAAAAGATATAAAAGAAACATGTCAGTTCTCTTCGGCTAGCTTAAACAAAGTAACTTGCAGTAATACATACACATACAAAAACATTTCCCCCCTGTTGTATCAATCTTAAATGCTTATTTTTGAATTAAACTATCACACTGGCTAATTGAACTGAAAGCATTCAAGGTCCCAAACATGAATGGTTAGTTTGCCTATGTTAATAGACAGTATAAACATAGTGCTTTAATTTAGTAACAGGGCAAATCCTTATGTCTCTCCTACATTTGCAGATGGCTCTCTTTGCATGAAACCACTGTGGTACCACTTTCCAAGGAGCTGAACAGGATTTGGTGAGTGCACTCCCCATCCAGAATACTCCGCTCAACAGGGGCATCTTGCATGGCTGCATGCAGGGGGAGATTTGGAAATAGGGCAGGGCTGGAAGTTCTACAGCCAAAGCACAATCAGACCCAGAAAACTTAAGAGACTCATCCAAGGCCACACAGGAAGTCAGTGACAGAGCCTGGATTAGAACTGAAGAGTTCCTGAATGCAGCTCCCTTTCTGAGTCCACAGAACAAACCACTCAATCCCTTAACAACAGCTGCTCTGAAAGCAAGATTTCACATGATTTAGTTCAATAAAAGTGTCTGACAAATTGTCTTCAGTAAACTCCAATTAACAAGTTGTTTTGTTTGGAAGTAAACCCTGCACTGCAGTATTAGCAAGCCAACTTGAAAGTGAAAGAGACACCATTGTCCAAACTGAATTAAGAGTAAACAGCACACCACTGCGGTGAATACTTGAGTACTGAACAGAACAGATTGTCTAAGCTCAGACATTTGGAGGAATTTTTCCAGTCCCTCAGGAATCTCAAGGCTTTTTTGGCCAGGTAGTTGCTATTATTGTCAAGGCCAGGGGAGGTTCAACCATGACAGTGACGTTAGATACAAACACAGGAGAAATGGGTGGTGTCCGGACAGGCAATAAAAAGGCAGCTCTCGAACCCGGATGCTCTAGGGTCATTT